CATAAATTACTCAATCTGTGTTATTCTGTTATGGCATCAGAAAACAGACTAAGAAACTCACCCTCTGTGCCCAAGCTCATGGGTCAAAGGTTATAAGACTGAGATGGGAAGGGGGTATTGGCTCATTTTGGTAGGTATGTGTATGTATTCACCAACATACTTTGCAAAATTAATTCTTACTGTTTAGTATCATCTGAGTGGCTTCTCCTCTCCAAAATATTGATTCTTTAGAGTTCATTATAACTCCCCCAAATAACTTTAGAATGTGTTAAAGATGACAACGATGTATGTTTTCCTTAAGGAAACTGAGATTTGCGTATATGCTAATTTATTAGTGAGAAATGAAACATTTTAGCAGATGGCATTCGTTCTACCTGTACAATTCTTGTATCTTCCATTGCTTCTCTATCCCTTTTATTTCTCCTCTTCCTTTTATCTCTCTATATTCCTCACATATTTTTTGTCTTCTTCTGGACTCCAACCTCCCACACCATTTAAAAAGAAGACAAGTATCAAACAATGCCTCCAGAAACTTATCACAGGATAAAAACACTCTTGGATAATAGCAGACTCTCATAATCTTTCTTCTTGCTAATAAATTACTTTAAAAGATTGACTTCTGAGTACTTCATGAACTGAAGTTCTGCTAGTTAGAACATTCTTTAATGGGACTGGCTCTTGTGGAGACATGTATTATAGTCTAAGATCTCAGATAACTTACTAGAGCTCAGACACAGATCTCCCAGTGGAGAATAGACACACTTTAGTTTAATTAAGATGCAGACAAAGAGCAATATATTTTCAAAATGAACCACTCTTTCTTTTCTTCTTCATTTGAATATTGTGATAAACTCCATCCACCTTCTAACAGTTTCCTGGGAGAATAAGGACAGGCTTATAATAATCACTAAATCTCTTGGAAACCGACCCCTCCACAATGAAGCATCTAAAATAAAATATATTTTCTTTGTGTTAGGAAGGAGGAAGATAAGACATTCCATCCCTGAGCTAAGGGGATTTGACCAATAAATGTGACAAAAAACCTAGATGTCTTTGTCTGAAATGGCTGGAAGAGATATTTATTTATTTTTTAATTTTGTGCACTAAATAACCAGGTTGACATCAGAAGGACTCAGAGAACTTTTGAAAGTAGGTTCAACTGAGAAACAAAAGAAGGAAGCTTCTGTCGCTACTGTTGATGTTTTCTCCAGAATTAGAGAATCAGAAAGAGTGGTTCATGGCCTCATAAAGATTCTTCTATAAAATTCAATAGGGGATCAGAACTTCCAGAGTCCTTAAATTCTCCCTTTGAAGGTTAGGGAGTAGTGTTTTATGGAGGTGATAGTAGCTCAAAGTTTTTGGTGGAGAAAGGCATGTCCCATAAAAACATAGGATATGTGACTAAAATACAGTTTCGTTGCTGTAAGCATATCTTAACATTTTATGACTTGAATTTTTATTTCTTTGCTAAACAATTCTTACTCTTTAACCTAGTCAAACATGTTTGCATAGCTCTTTTGCAAAATGCCAGAGTTTCTGGAATCTGCTGGACACAGAGGGGCTCTTTGATGAGGAGGTAAGCAGCCTTCTCTGTGGTATAAAGCCCATTTCCCATACTGTGGGAATTTTTATTTGGTGGGACTTTAAGGTCCCTATGTGCTTCAAGTGTTAATATTAGTGTGTTAGGGGAAAATGGCATTTCCTACAACCTCCATGAGCTGGGAAGCTTTATTTTTATTTGATTTGACCACAGTTGTAAAGATTCTTAATCTCCTTGTGTTCATAATTTGAGTACATCTCCCCATCAATCAAATATGTAGCATAAACATTCTTTCCTTTTATAAGAGATGTAAGAAAATTGATACATGCTGAGGAAAAGTGAACATTTTAGATTTTTAAAAAGGTACTGATTTTTCTCTGTGCTATTCCACAACTGAAGGAAGTAAAAACTCTCTTATGATTCACAACTAGAAAAAGAAGGAGGACATGCTTAGCACATACCACTCACTGAGAAATTATAATGATCAAGCTGGGAAAGAATTGAAAGTTAGAGACAATGACATTATCTACCCTCTGATTTTTAATTCAGACTTTTTCCTGCAATGTTCAATAGCCCTGTGAGCATTGGGAAAACAAGTACTTTGTGGTTGTACAGCTCCAGCCCCTGGACAGACATGTGCCAGATGTTAAATAACACTGGACTCTCTTAAGGGCTATGTACTGTGTCCTTAACTTCCAACCTCTGTGATCTCCTTCCTCTTCCACCATGCCTAAGACAAAGTTTACTTTGATATTTCTACCTCTCTGTCTCTCTCATCTGAGCATTTACACAAATAATGCACACTCTTGAGCCCAACATTATAAAGTACTATAAGAATGTGTATGAATAGGAATTTATATATACCACTAATGTGAATGGAAATTGTTTTAACACTTTGAAGAAGTATTTGCTATATTTGGTAAAATTTAAAATTTGCATATCACCCAATATTTGCCCACTTATATTTTTCTAATTCTGTAAAAAAGGTGATAATAATTTACCTCTCTCATAGGGCTGATGTGAGGTTAAAATGATTTAATCTATGTAAAACATTCAAAAGTTACATTTTTAGTTTTCAACAAGTTGCATATTTTATTATCAGTAGTAGTAGTGTCAATGTTGTTATCATTAATCTCCCACCTTAGAGAAACTCATGAAATGTCCACAAAGACACATGTATATGAATGTTCATACAAATATTGGTAGTAATAGCAACAAAAAATGTCAAAGAATATAGAAATTAATAAAAATGGAATGGATAAAAATATCATGCTATAGTCACATAACAGAATACTATACAACAGGTACATGTATCAATATGGATAAATCTCAAAAAATTAATACTTAAAATAATTTGCAAGATAATATTCAAATTATGATATAAACTCCATGTAAACAATGAGTATGAAAGCAATACTGTATAATTTTCGGGATGAATATATATGTAGAAAAGTATAGGGAGACATATAGAAATAATAACTCTTAGTGTCCAGGGAGTTGTTATCTCCAACAGGGAGAAAAAGTTCTATGATCAAAGATGAGACCACCTGGGGTGTCAAATGGATTGAAAATGTTTTATTTCTCAAGTTGGATAATGTGTAAATATTTGTCCATTGGATCATTCTCAATGTCTTTCAGCAAATGTTAAATATTGCAAAATAAAATAAAAAAGCAACAACTAGAAAAAGGAATAAATAGCATATTAATAAATCAGCTTTTTGCCTATATATTTACCAGGAAAAATAGTTGTCTAAGAACTTGGAAAGGCCCTTTGATTTTCATAATAGAAGTTTTATATAATGATGTCTTGATTCAATATGAATGTTTGCTAGGGAATCAAAGATAACTGAAATCCAAAAGCAATGAGAAAATTCACATAGCAAGTATTTATTACTGGCTACTCAGGATTAATGAAGGCAAGATAGTCAACCTGAAGCTAATTACACAATCTGAGTGTAAATAAGACTCCAGTAAAGCTAGTCACTAGTTATCTGTTGTGTCCTCCCACACCCACCGTACCCTGACTCCTTGGCCCTTATGCATGGAACTGTGACCATATGTATCAATTATTACAACAGGAGTGAGCCAATGTTTTGTCTGTTAAGGTGAACAGATTCCTTGAGTGCAGTTAACGAGTCCCTACGTACGTCTCCACTAACACATCATTTCCAAGGACTGTAAGGCAGCAACTTAGATAGATCAAGGAAGTGATGACAATGGCTTAGACCAGAGCAGAAGAAACAGAAAGGGAGAGACACAGGTGGACTTGAGAGAGATTCAGGAGGTGAGCTAGCAGGAGCAAGTTACAGTACCACAAAAGCAAGATCCAGAGGATACCGCCATGTAAAACTATACTAAAAGTTTATGGACATGGAAAACTATTCAATTATTGTTTAAGAGTACAGAAGAGTTGAAGTGAAACTACAAATAAAGGCAACTGATGAATACACAAAACAATTAAGGATAGTGGCTACTGAGGGGGTGGTTGTTTGGGGCATTAGCACACAGAAGGCTGCTCAGGTAACTGGTGCTCTATTTCCTAAGATGAATGATGGCTACACTGGGATTCCTTAATTGATTCTCTTTCTGCCTCTCTTACACATTGTATGTATTCCCTCTAGTGACTCAGATATTTATTTTATTAAGATGGGTAAAAGTAAGCAGACACAGAAACCTTGACTTATACTGATCAATTTTGAGAGCCTGAACCACAGTACTGGTCCCTTTCCTGTAAGAACTTTCTACTTAAAAAAAAAAAAGAAAAGAAAACTGTTTTTCCTGAATCTTTTTTTTTTTTTCTCTCTCAACTGGAAGTTGCTCTGCGGGAAGAACTGTTTCCCTGATCCTGAAATTGGGAGCCCAGCCCTCAGACCGTCTCCTCCCCACATCCAAGACCCCAGGCTGAACCTCCCCAAAGGTCACTGGGTACCTGGGTCTACTGGTTACTACTCTCCACATCTATGGTCCAAGCTTATTTACTGTCACCCTCAGGAATCATGGGCGTGGCCGGGAAAGTGCTTCAAATGGGGGTGGGGGTGGCAAATGCTGGTGGCAAATCAGGACAGCTGGTGGGCCTCAAGTCTCTGACTCCTCCCCACCCGGGGGTTTTGTGAAGCCTTTCTGCTTGGCTCCTGAGGCCCAGCTCATCCCAGTGTCCTGGGAATAGCCTCAATTCTGAGCCGCCTGAAAACTTGGGACACCTGGCGGGGCCGCAGCGGCAGAGGTGGGCTAGGTGAGAGGGAAAGGGCTCCCAGGACATAAAGGCTGTAGGTGGCTGGGTGCTTCTGGCACATGCCGGACAGAGAGAGGCAGCATGCTCGTGCAAATATATCTAGTGGGTGGGTCCAGTCGTCTTATGCGGGAGCGTTGGTGCACAGGGGGTCACGTTGTGACGCAGCCAGAGCTCAGTTGGTGATTGGCCAGGCAGACAAAGGGGATGGATGAAAAGCTGGTCCCCAGAACTTGAGTGTGGCAGAGCAGCTCTGGCCTTGAAGGGGGCCAGCTGCTCAGGCTCCAGAACCAGCTCCAGCACCCTTTGGCATCTCAAGGACACCCTAAAAGAGTTTAGTATATGGTATGATTTCGTGTTAAAAAAATCAGTTTGCCATGTAAACATAATGTTAGAAACAATATTGTTTGTTTAATAAGAGGGTAAAATTTCTCATGACTTAAGTTTTAATAATTCCCCTATATTGGATTTTTTGTAAATTTACCACGGATCTCAACTGCTTTAAACACAGAATTATATGCTATAAACTGATATTGGGGGGGGAAAAAAAAACTAATGAAATGTGATAATGGATGCCATTTTAAAGGTTTTAATTTTATAATGTTTTTACAGGCTACAAATCATAAGGATTTAATGTATTAGCTAAATTATAATTTCACTATCCTTATATACCTTTAAGATCTTAGATAAATCATTCAGTTAATTAATACGTTTTGAAAGCCTGGAAAGTTTCTTAGCAAAAACCAGACACAAAACAGTTGTAAATAATGATAATATCTATTCTTGTTATTTTTGAATGGCAATAGATTAAGGACAAAATAAATATCTTCCAGTTGTTCTCAAAGGAGACATATATGTGTGTATATATATATGTATGTGTGTGTGTGTGTGTATATATGTACACACACACGGTATATTCAAAATTATATAATAGAAATAAATATGAGTGTATATATATGTATGTATGTGAATATGTGTATATTCATCTATTTCAATTGTTAGTATGTGTTAATGGAGAAAAAATCGTGAAACGATACTTGTTTTTATTTCTCTAGTTTCTCTAGTTGTTTTTATGTGTCAGGATAAAAATAGTTATTTTGATTAAGGATGATATTTAATATAAATATTATATAATTTCATTTATAATATATAATAATGTTTTATGATATCTACATAATAACTCATTTTCATAATATATTGATAACATCAGTTTACTTGAAGATATTTGACTCTTAAATCAGCTTATCTACCAGCGCACAGATGAAGAATACAAATATTATACCAGAGGAATTCAGATATCTTTCCCTGTTATGTTACAGAAATTAATTAGTTTGCATCCCTAGAGATAAATTAATATCTGGTACTATTGCTTAATTACTCGATTAGTGCTAGATATTAATTTGTTAGCTATAGGGATTTTAATTATTACCAATTTTTATATTTATAGATCTGTGTATGTCTAATTATATAAGTTCTTTCCTCTAAATTATTATATAAGTATATATAAAGCAGAAACAAAATGAGGGACATTTTAATTTAAAATGACTAAGCTGTTTTATGCTTATGTGGAGTTATTTCTTATAATTCTGTTAAATTGTGGTTATTGGTTTTTACACTCCTACATCCAGCTTTATTTTTCATTTTTTTATTTTTTTTTTTTGAGACACGAGTCTCACTTGTTGTCCAGGCTAGAGTGACGTGCCGTGGCATCCGCC